CCCCGCTTGGCCAGTCCCTCTTCCGGCATGAGCACTGGCACGGAGATCGGTGGCAACAGGGCTAGTGGTTAGGGGATAACACTGCCTCGCCAAAGGGCTCTGAGGTCTCAGAAGATGGGAGCCGTGTGCAGCCAGCCGGATCGACACCCGGTGTGAACCGGTGCAGAGCTACACACGTCCACGGGGCTGCCCTGATCTCCACCCCCTGAGGATCTGGGCCAGCAATGGTCAAGTAGGAGCATCCTTGTTGCCGTGTGCGGGCTAGTGGTTAGGGGATAACACTGCCTCGCCAAAGGGCTCTGAGGTCTCAGAAGATGGGAGCCGTGTGCAGCCAGCCGGATCGACACCCGGTGTGAACCGGTGCAGAGCTACACACGTCCACGGGGCTGCCCTGATCTCCACCCCCTGAGGATCTGGGCCAGCAATGGTCAAGTAGGAGCATCCTTGTTGCCGTGTGCCACGGCTTTGTGACGTAGTGGGGGTACTTGCTGGGCTGTGGTGACCTCTTCTGTCTGGAGCAAGACCCAGCAGGGAAAACCTCATTATGCAAAGGTGACTCCATACCGGTTGAACCAACCCCCCATGGGGAGGAACAAAGGGAGGTGGATGCTGCCCTGGCTGGGGGCAGGGCTGGGAGAGGTGGAGTTAGTTCCTGGCTGGAAAGCAGGGAAGAAGGAGCTGGGGAGGGGGCTGGGATCCCCCCATCTCAAAGGGGCCACTGAGGCCTCTTAGCCCCAGTTCCTGTAACCAGATTACATCTGTGCTATGCTGTATCCTGGAGGAGCAATAAACCACCCTCAATTCCACTGGCTGGTAGAGTCTGTTTGTGCCATTTTGGGGTGCAGGTGACGGGGGACCCCCAACGCGCCATCACACTGGTGTCAGAAGTGGGATGCACTGCACCCCGTGGATGGAGCTTCCAGCGGCGAGCGACAAGGCGCTGTAGAAGCAAGAGCCCTGGAGCCAGGCATGCTGGAGACAGAGCGAAGTGGTTCCTGGGAATCGTGGGGCGCTGCAGCACTAGACTGGTGAGTCTGCACCGAGGGGACCAGCGGGCAGATGGCCTACGCCCGACTCTTGAAGGCAGAGCTGGTGGGGCTGTGCAGAGAGAGGGGCTTGCCTGTGGAGAAAGCAACCAAGGCCCAGCTGATTGCTCAGCTAGAAGAGAACGACCAGCCACAGGGCCAGGATCTTGTCCCCAGGGGAAGCAGCCAGACCCCCCCGAGAGTGTGTCAGGCTCAGAGAGGGGGAGGAGCGCTGGAACCCACCGGAGAGATGAGACAGCTTCCCCCAGGAGGCCTGCAAGCTGCAGCCCATCTAGGGCAGGGGCCAGCCAAGCAGAGCTGCGGCGGCTGGAGATCCAGCTGCGGATGAAGGAATTGGAAGTACAGGAC